GCTGTCTTGCTTTCGCTTTATCTTGGTTACTTAGGAGGGTAGTATAGTGGAGTATTGGTGTGCTTTGTAGTCTTTTTCTTTGTATAATTAATTATTTATTTACTAGGTTGTCAAATTTTATGTATCGATTTTTTATTTACTATAGAAATTGGGATGTAAGGGAAAGAGTTTTATCAATTCCTAGTTTCGCCAGTTTCACCACATTTCCATTTCATTTTTTTTTTTTTAACAAAAATCGAAATTAGGGTTTCGATTTCACCGGCACAAAACCTCTAGATTTTGTTTAACAATTATAATTCGTAAAAAACAGTATCTGGTATAGTACGTCAGTACAATTCCTGCAGTATGCACAATCATGTAAAAATCTTGACTTTTGTTAAAATCTTTTTTTTTATTGACCCATGGGCGATACGTATTTGTTATATTTTTATTATAACGGTAAATAAACTTTTGTTGTAGAATTTTCATGATGTCACATAATTAAATTATAAATATTAATAAATGAATAACAATTACTAAATTATAAATTCAAATTATAAATATTTACCTCTTTACAAGTTCTTCGCAGCTATTTTTTGTTCCATGAAATAATTTTAATGAAGTTACATGACTCACCCCAAAAATCCGGCCAGAGTTAGAGTTAACGTTATTTTAGTAATGCCGGTCAGTGTTGTGCCCATAAGCACGTGAATGCTATGCCGTAGCAAATTTTTGGGGTGAGCTGTTAGGGTGTTCAAAATACTAGTAAATCAAACATTAATTAGGGTTGCATATGATAGATTTTTTATGAAAATCCGAATTTACTGCGGATAATATCAACTTTCGGTACGCTTTTCTCTTGAACTAGTATAATAATTAATGTTCAATTTTTTTTAAAAAGATAGTGCAAATTGTATACTTTAGTGTAATAGAGCCATTTTTTCAATTTACGCTATTTTATAAGAGTAAATTTGTTAACAATTTAAATGAACTTTACCTAAATTTGACAGATATAAAGCTATTGAAATTGAAAAACCGACGTTGTTATTGAAAAGAGAGTAATAAAAGCTATCGATTAAAAAAAATATGACATAAAAAAAGTATATTCTTCGCTCAAAAAGTGTACCTTTAGTAGTTGTTTTAAATTTTTTTTTTGCATTTATAAAACAATGCAATAAAGACAATAATAAATGAAAGTTAAATTTTCCGAAATTTCCGATATTATTTAAAAAACCGATAAAAAATCCTTAAATATGTACCCCGACTATGATTTGATTTACTAGTATTTTGAACACCCTAGTGAGCTGTGTAACTTTAGTAAAAAATATTAATCTTACATATATTACAGTATTGCTGTATTAGTGAATATATTTTCCTATCATGTCATGTTGCATTGCCCAGAAAATGTCGCTAACATATCAACATAAAATTATATCTAGACAAATTCATTAATACAGTAATAACTTCGAAACTAACAACCAATTCACTCCTGGTGTCGAATTCTTGAGTTTGTATTGCCATTAGATATGAAATTTTCTCATTTATTGACATTTCTAACAAGTTGTCAATTGCTTTCTTTGTTATTAAAATCTTCACGACTTGTTCAATTGTCACTTATTACAAACGATTTTGATAGTTTTTTTTTTTTTTTTGTATTTCTGTTAATATATAGGCAATATAGCTTAATTTACATAAACTCAATCTCGATTCCACAATCATGATTATATTAGTGACATAATGGCAACATTTTTTTATGGGGCGATGCTAGAATCGTTTAATACATTTTCCAGATGTAGAATTTGTTTATGATTTCTTCAATTAACTAATGTACATGGGACACCTTAAATTCATTTTAAATGTCATGTATTATCTAACCATCTTTCATTGGTAAATTGCTCCTTGCCCTTCCAAAAGACCATATCTATATTTTACAAAATATATTTAAATTTATAATGTTTATCACCTAATTCCTTTTTATCTTCTTTAATACTCTTATGATCAGAAGTTTTATGGCTAATTTTTTCCTTTTCTTTCAACTCATTAAGTCGGCCTAACATTCCATACTGGATTGCGCTCAAACAAACGACTGCTAATAAGAAACCTGATGCAAAAATATGACCACGCACGTAATTAGGGTAATCTACAGAACGATATATCTGAGCGGCAATTATACCTCCACAGTTAGCACAACTTATCATCATTGCAACACCTATGTTACGTTTTAGTGGTGGTGACAGGTTGTTTGACAGCCTTTTGGATTGATATAAATTAAGAGTAAAAAGATTTTAGTACTTATATGAAATTGGATTATTTAAATGCAAAGAATCTCATATCTACCATACAATAGCAATAGCGCTACATGGAGCTACACCTATTGATATAATAAAAGTTGCTATATATTTCACTATATAAACGAATAATAAAAAATGTGAATAAAAATAATAATGATAATAACAACACTAATTAATGTACGAGAATTTGAAATATTAACCAAACATAGCCCTCAAATTTACAGAATACAAAATAACTATGTATCCCACGACTCCAATTGAGGCAAATGACATTACAAAAGGACCACGAAGATTCGTACGATCAGATAAAGCTGTTACTACTAATTGTGAGATAAAGCCAAACAAAAATGGAGGTGCCACCAATAATTGAGATATAACTTTAAAGTGTAATATGTAATAATAAAGATTGTAATAGAGATTAGGAAATTATGTAAAATCTCATGCTTTATTATTTTTTTTCATGCTTGCCTTCATCAAAACCAATTCCATTGACGATTGAAGGAACAAAAAATACAAATGAATAAATTGTGGTAGTAATGCCTAATAAAATGAGCATCGATATGTACACTTTCTAAATGAAAAATTAACTATAATGAAAAAAAAGTGATGACAAAATCATTTTAAATAACATAAAATAAAAAATAATCTATCATACCCAATCCTTCAAACATTCTAGTACATAAACCTTGTCAAATGAGTGTTCTCGAGCTTTTTTATAATCCTCATCATCATCGTCAAGTTTTAACCTTAAAACTGCCAATGACCGCTCTTCTTGGTTAAGCCACTTGGCTTCATCTGGATAATCAGTGATATAAATATATGCAATAATAGCAACTATAATGGAAACCAAACCATCAATTAGAAAAATCTGTTACATAAAACGGAATGAATAACATTATCGCATTAGACAATATAAATATCAACAATGCAAACATTATATAATTGCTTTTGATACTGTATAAGAAATCGACATACCAATTGCCATCCTTTTAAAGGTGAATCTTCATCCGTAAGACTTGCAATTGCATAAGCTAATAATCCACTAAAAGCACCACCAAGTGATGTTGAGGACAGAATTAATCCCATTCTAAAACCTTGTTCTTGTCTTTTATACCACATAGTAATATAATAGGTTATTCCAGGAGTCAGACCTGCTTCGAAAACTCCCAAGAGAGCGCGTGCGACCAAAAGTTCTGCATATGATTTTACCTTTCATTAAAAAAAAAAAAGGAGATTAATTTGCGTTATTGGAATTAAATAATGAAGGTTCTAATTCCACTACTTACAAAAGCCATAAGTGACATTGTTATTCCCCAAGCAATCATAATTGTTGGGACTATACAAAAGACCAATAACTTGTGTGAAAAACACAACCTTCTTTAAAAAAAATGCCATTGGTAAAGTTAAATCTTACGCCATATTGAAGGTCTAACTTTATATAATATCAAATTTGATGGTATTTCAAATATAATATATCCACTATAAATTAATTTAAAGATTCTTAATAGAATTTATTCTTTATAAATAATTTATCAAAATAATTTAATTAGAAGGCTTACATAAAAAAAATGCTTAGACTCCAATTAAATTCACTTCCAACTAATCCAAGATCACGTTCCAAATTTAACAACTTTGCATTTCCAATGTTTACCCTTTAATTAAAAAGAAAATATACATATATCGATATATAATTATTTTCTTCAAATATGGTATGATCGAGAATTATAACTCTTATACCTATCTAAAAAGCTTAATAGGTAAAACAGTACCATAATTGGAATGATTCTAAAATCGATCTTTCTTAATAATTCATTATCTTTTATTTTCGTATCAATTGGATCCATCACAAAATATTTTTGTTAAATAAAATGCGAACTAAAAAAATGTAATTTGACTTTAGGAAAAAACACTATCATTCGAACTTTCATAATTTCATTTATTTTAATCTTTTTTCAAAAAAAAACAAGTAATTATCAACAAATTATCCACAAATTATCAACAAATTATCAACAAGTTAGTAAATATAACGATAATTTTTATTCATTATAAGCACAGCCACTACACAGCCCTGTATATGATTGCTATTAAAACATCTTCCCGTATGCATAATTTCCTATTGAGATATGTTACGTATACTACTCGGCATTACAGAATTATGTATTGTATAAACCAGCATGAATGTACATGGTTTGTAATTTACGAAAGTATGCATGATTAGCAAAACTTATAAAATTTATCTTTTATAAGTTATATATCAAATTTTAATAGTTAGGTTAAGGTGAGTGCTAATATTGCCCTTTTTCATGGTAGGATTAGTATAGTTTATAGGTAAAATCTTTTAAAGAATTTCTTTTACGAACTATACATACTACCTTAATTTCTACTATACATACATATATTATATATTAGCTAGAAAATCTTCGTACGTACAGTACGTACGTACCTATTACTCTTTTTTCCATATGCGGTCACGTAAGGGAGGGTCGGGTATTATGGCGCACCTAAGAGTGCTAATAGTAAAATTTCTCAAGAAATATTTTATTTCTAAAATTTATTAAAATAAACTAATATTCGACTTAATATCTATCGACAAGCCAAAAAAAAAAAAAATCCCAAATATTTTTTAAGAAAACTTGATATTCAGAACTTCCAAAGGTCTAAAAACTGTTATGTTGATTCTTAGCTGGAGGGATTATGGCGCACTATGTATATCGATATTTACACGTATTGTACGTACGTATTACAGTTTAAATACGTACATTACAAAAATAACCATTTTTATATTTTGCTCTTTTCCGAAATTTCTCAAATAAGAAAAAAAGAGAAAATTATTATAATAACTACACCATAATAACTAATTTTTTCTCGAGTATTGATCCAAATTGATTAATTTTTGTATCATTCGATTCGTGTCAGTAAAACGAATCGAATGGTACTAATTGTTCGATTCTGATCCGTGGATCGCAAGAATCATCAAAAATGTAAGTGCGCCACAATGCCATAATACCCGACCCTCCCTATAAAAAATAACCCAAGTAATTTAATACCTAAGATTTTGATGTTATTTGAATCGTCTCATTAAGACGATTCAAAATGATATTAAAATAATAATTGTTAAGTTACATGATTTTAAAAGATTTTGTTAAAAGTAAATACAAGAATAAATAGTAATGCATTGTGCTATACTAAGCAATTTAATCTATACTAAGCAATTTAATCTATACTAAGCAATTTAATCAGTCATACCCCGTCCAATATCGTCTTTCCTGTCTTTCATAAATTTCAAAAAAATTTTGGCATTTTAATAAAGTTGCGTAGAACTTTTAAAAAGTATAATTTACATATTAGAAAAAACTAAATATATATACTACTTATAGAGCTTCAATCAAGTTGGTCGATTCTTTCAACACTTATCCCAAATATTTTTCTATTTAGGAATTTGGGATAAGCTTTTGTAGGAAAAAAATTCTATTTGAGCTATACATAGTAATTAAATAATTATTAGTCAGATGGAGTGGTTTGAACTATTCTAATTTTACAAAAAGATACTTACAATATATTAGTCGAAAAAAATCAGTTTTTAGACCATTGTGGTTTTCTAGATCTTTTGATAGACTTTTCACTAATACTATCTAACTTATTTCTCTTTATTAATTTTGTTTTGTATTAGACCCCAAAACTCTTTGACATTAGCGTCAAAAATGATTTGTTTTTTTCTATTGTTCGTAGTGACCTTTGCACATAAATTGTCTTTTCTAAAAAAAAAATAGTTTGTCACGGTGGTATATCGTGTAACTTCTCTATTTTTATCAACACTTAGTGCTCGCTTGGACACTTGGAGTATCGTACAGGTATTTTCACCTTATCGACATGGCGACACAGACTAAGGCAATACACGGTTATTCACTAAAAATGTTTATTAATTATTGTGCGAGTTTTCTAAAGAGTTATTGCACTTATATATACTTGGAAAAGCATGATCATCATATTGTATAAACACGTGAATTTGCATGTTTATTACAAATTTTAACTCGCGTGTTGACCAGGGATTGTGATCGAAGCAAATCACAAAAGGCGTATTACTTACCGCGATTTGCTTCGATTACAGCAATATACTTTTAAAGCATATTCAACAGTTCTGATGAATTTTTTAGAAAAATATAATAAAATTATTATAGTAGTTTGTTTAGCAGAGTATAATAAATAACTATAAAATAGTATTTTGTTCAGCGAAGTAGAATAATAAATTATAATGGTATATTAGATTGGATCCGTATTACTTCACCGAAAATCACTTCATCGACAACTTAGTTCACCGACAGTTAATTTACAGACAAGCTTATTTTACCGACAATTTATTCACAGTTCACCGACAGTTTATTTCACCGACAGCTCATTTCGCCGACAAGTTTTTTTATAAATTGTACTAACCTTAACTCCAATTCAGAATCTGACCCTAACGACAATGACCAGAATTACTTTGTCGGTGAAATGGACTTTTCTGTGAATTAATTGTCGGTAAAATAAGCTTGCCTGTAAATTAATTGTCGGTGAAGTGATTTTCGGTGAAATTAACGAAACCGTATTAGATTATATGAAAATTTATGCTGTAATTATTTGTTTTAAAATATATAATATTATCAAAAATAAAGTTGTAGCAGCAGTTGGAACTCGACAACAAACGTTTTCTAACGATTTTAAAACATAAACCGTCAAATGAAATTTAGTGCAACACTTCTTTAAAAAATTAAAGTTTTCTTTTCTAGATCAATTTTTAAAATTTATGTACAAAAAAGTAAACGTAATGGAATCTGCACTTTTATTATTAATCATCACTAAATCAAATCATTTACTGTTATCCAAAACATGATTTGCTAAATAACATCACAGATTCCGCAGGTCTCTGGTGTGGACGGACAAAAATTTCCAAAATTACATTTCAAAAATGTAATTTTTATGAGTGCTCAAGAATGAAAACGTGCAAGTAAATATTTGACCCCTGTAGAAGTCAATATAACAATACTATTAACACTACACAAAGTACTACACTAAAACCTATCTGATCTAATCCCTAATATTTGCTGGATTCGATTGAGATGTAAAAAGATTAGAGTGTTATATTTGAACTCTATACTACGTACGTCACGATGTTCTAATTAGATATCACGGGATTAACTTTATATGAATTTTACTTATCGGAGGTTAGTTTCCTTTATCTTTATTGCTGTATTGAAGTTGTGTCATTTTTTATACTTTTCAATTACATTTGAAATAAATTTTATAAATTTACTAAATTGAATAAATCAAATAACATCAGCAAATACATTTTCACATAGTTCTATATAAAATTTTTATGTAAAATTATGTAGAATTTTTATTGAATATTATGAAAACTTTATAAACACAATGTAGATTTACATAGTTATTTATATAAATCTATATATATTTTTATATAAAACTATATAAAATTGCAAAAAAAATTTGAATAAAATTTTGAAGCTAGAATTAGATTTTAAAGTTTAAATTTGGGTTTTTGAGCATACTAAGCATTTTTATTTGATGCATCAAGTGGTGATTATCTTGGTTACTTTTGAGAAACAGTTAAAGTAGATTAAATTATTAATGTTTGAAACTAAAATTGGATATTCTATAAAAATAGGTGGGCAATATAAGAAATAAGCTTTGCTAATGATTAGTAATTATTAATTTTTTAATAGCAGAGTTGCAGAGTTCATGGAGTTTGCTATAGAACATCCCTAAAATTAGCTAAGCTAAATATTTTATTATAAAAATTTAAAAATTTTTGAAGTATATTTTTTTTAATTTTTTTTAATATTAGAGACTAACTTTATAAATAAAATTTTAAAATAAACAAGTTTAAATATGTTTTAGTAGGTTTTATGAATCTAAATTATGATCTCAAATTTTTAGTTTTAATCAATTTTAGTATTATTCTTAACAATTTTTTTTTGGCAGTTGTGTTACTTATTTTATTAGTAATTTTTATTATTATAAAATAATATTATTTTAATTTTGTTATAGTAATAATTCTAATTACTTCTTGGGTTTGGGCTCTATAGCTTAGTAGTTAAGTTTCCAAACCTCGATGAAGAAGGTCAATAGTTTGATTTCAGCTAGAGACAAAAACCTCTGTAATTTGCTATAAAGTTAACACAAAAGAGATGAAGAGAAGAGAATTATTACTATAATAAAGCACAAGCTATAATGATCTAAAAGTAAAAATTACATGTTCATAGCAAATAAGGAGCTAATAATCAAATAGAAAAATCTTTGCCAACAAGATAGAAGCTAAAGTAAAAAAAAT